ACAACACTATCCTCATTTATTGGGTCCCTTGTGCCTTTGTCCTATCAAAGATCTCACCCTGCCAAAACTCAGCCTTGGATTACCCCCACCATGCATTGCCTTCGTTCCTACTCATATGTTGCTGAATGAAGCTAGAGAAAATCACAAAACCATGCTAACTGGATCCACTATGTATGTTACATAGCCTCAACTGGGTCCTCATTATGGCAAGGTGATCCTTCCCTAATAGACTGACTAGCCTATTTATCACAGAGGCTTTTCCAAAACATTTCATTGCTCCTTAAACCTTCTAAAATTCTCCCATCCCCAGCCTTCTCAGCCTATGTCACATCACCAAGATGCTTCCATCCACTTTTACCCCAGTCCCACATAAAGAGATGCCCTTTCTCCTTACCGAGGCAAACTCCATTCTATCCCATCTTCTCCAGCAGACTGCCGCCTCAAACATCCTCATTCTCTCACCAATCTTGAAACCCTCCCTGACTACTGGCTGCTTCCCTATTGCCTACAAATATGCCCATGTCTCCCTTATCCTCAAAAAACCCTCTTTTGATTCATCCATCTCTGCTAACTATTGTCCTTTATCTCTCTTCCCTTTGGGGACTAAACTCCTTGAGAAGACTGTCTACAATCTATGCCTCCACTTCCCATTTTCTCACTCTCTTCTTAATTCTCTGCAGTCCAGCTTCCAACCTCTTCATTCAAACAAAACAGCTCTTGCCAAAGTTATCGATGATATCCTCATTGCCAGATCTAATGGTCTTTTCTCCATTTTCATCCTTGATCTTCCTGTTGGCTTTGACACCATCAATCACCCTCATCTCCTTGCTATTTTCTTCTCTAGGTTTTCATGATGCTGCTTTCTCCTTGTTTTCCTCCTACCATCCTGACCACTCCTTCTCAGTCTCCTTCTTCATCCAAGATCCAAGATTCATCCATGGGATCTCATGTCTATTAACTCTGGGTATCCCTCAAGGCTCTGTCCTAGGCAGTCTTCTCTTGCCCCCTCTACACTGTTTCACTTGGTGATCTCATCAACTATTGGATTCAACTATTATCTTTGCACAGATAATTCTCAGATTTCTTTGTCTAGCCCAGGGGTGGGGAACCTGTGGCCTTGAGACCACATGTGGCCCTTCAGGTCCTTCAGTGTGGCTTTTTTATTAAGGAGATTTGTTCTGTGAAGTTTGGATTCAGTGAAAGGGCCAAACCTGAGGACCTAGAGGGCCACGTGTGGCTTCAAGGCTATCCCTGGGATAGCCTTAACCTCATCTCCAACTGCTTTTTGAGCATCTGAAACTGGAGGTCTCATAGACATCTTAAGCTCAACATGCCTGACAAAACTCAATCTTTCTCCCCAAACCCTGTGCTCTTTGTGACTTCCTTATTACTTTTGAGGGCATCAGTGTCCTCCCAGTTCCCTAGGCTCACAGCCCAGGTGGCACCCTAACGTCTCACACTCACTCTCCCATATCCAATCAGTTGCCAAATCCTGTCATTTCAACTTCATAATGTCTCCCACATACTTCCCCTGCCCTTCTCTGACACTGCTAGCACCCTGGCACAGGCCTCATACCAGGACTCTTACATAGCTGTTGCTTAATTTCTGTGCCTTTGGCCTCTATTCGGCTGTCAGATTGACCTTCCTCAAGTGTCATTCTCCTATTCATAAACTCTGGTGGTTCCCTGTCCCCTCCAGGATCAAATATAAAATCCTTTGTTTGACTTTGGTCCCTTAGTCACCTTTTAATCCTTTTCACACTTTACTCCCTTGCATATTTATATACTGGGTGATTCAGTGACACCCACTTCCTTGTAGCTCCTTATAGACAACACTCCATCTCTCAGCTCTTGTACCTCTTCACTGGCTGTTGGCCATGCCTAGAACTCTCCCCTTCCTTGCCTAGGCCTTCCAGTCTCTCTGGCTTCCTTCAAAACCCAGCTAAAATCCCACCAATTATAAATGATAATAATAATTTATAAATGACTATTATAAATGCCCAAATTAACTATAAAGGACAAATGAAGAAAGATGCTCTCTGTATCCAGAGAAAGAACTGATAAATAGAAGTATGTATAGTATTTATATATATAGTGAAAGAGAGGTATGTGTGTGTGTGTGTGTGTGTGTGTATACACACATATACCTATAGATATATACCCATAGATATATACCTACAGATATAACTATATATATATAATTTATATGAATTTGTATGTATAATATATAGTATATATGTTATATATTATATTATGTATACTACAGATAATATAATACTTATAAAATATATACCTATTTGTGTCTAATGGTAGGGGGGAAGGGAATTCCACAAATTCAAAATAGAATAAATAAATAAATAAAAACAAAATAAAATAAATGAAAAGAGAAAAGCAATCCCACCTATCCAAGAAGCCTTTCCTAGTTGGCCTCAATGTTAGTGCTATCCCTTGGTTTATTAGCTCCAATTTCTCCCATCTCTATTTTATGGAAAATACAAAGCTATTAGCACGTTCTCTCCTCCATTAGACTGTGAGCTTCTCAAGCCCAAAGACTCTCTTTTCCTTCTCATTGTTTCCCCAGCACTTCGTACAGTGCCTGGCACACAGTAGGTGATTATTTCTTGTTGACTTGACTATAGTAATCATCATTGGCAGCTCCCATTTCTTTAGCAGTCGAAAATTTTCAAAGCCATTTCATCCCAACAACCCTGTGAGGGAAATGAAGTAATATCCTCATTTTATGGATTGAGGACACTGAAGTTTCAGCTCAAACTCAATATCCTCTGCCTCCAGATCCAGGTCACCTTCCGCTGTGCCACGCTGCCTTTAATAAGTCCCTAAGCTGATTAGAGGAGTGAACACTGTCTTGGCACTCCCCTCTGTTCCCATCCCATGATAGATGCTGTATTCCTTGCTACCCCCGTCTCTCCCCCTCCTTTAGCTGACGGAAAGGCTCTGAGTTCATCTGCCTGTCCCAGGGGAATGGCGGGTGTATTTTTCCAGGCACATCCAAGGCATTCATTATTGTGAGAAGTGCCTGGACCCCCAGCTGCTCAGGCTGCCCATGAGGAGCCCGGAATCAGGATGGGCCCCTTGGGGAGATGGGGAAGGAACTGCTTGTACGTTCAGCTCCTGAGGACAGCTTGGATGGCTGTGAACATTGACTCATTTAGAGATGAAGCTCAAAGTTAGTTAGGAGGTAACTTTCCCTGTTTTCCCTCCCAACCTCTGAAAGGAGCTAGACAGGGAAATGGTACATACTCTCTGACCCCCTTGGGAACACTTGAGGATGCAGCTACCCAAAGTGTAGGCCAGTCCCCAAGTAGCACCTAGTAAGCGCTTGACCAATGTCTGTCTGTTGAAAACAAATTCACATTTTAAAAAACACTACCACCATTGATAAAGTGGTGATTTGAAAGGCACTGTACTGGACAATGGAGGCGGTCTAGATGTCCCATTAGGCCTTGTCTCTGTCCTCTGGGGCCTGTAGCCAAACAGGGAGATATTGATACCAACGCAGGTAAATCTAATACCAAATAACATGGTACAAGTACCCAGAAAGATGGGAGGTAGGAGTGGAGAAGTACCATGTAGGGTCTGAGGGGAGAGGCTGGCACCAAGCCCCCAAACCCTGGAGGTATGGTATGGTTTCCTACAGGAAGGGGTATTTGAATTGTGGTGTAAAGGATGAGTAAGAATTCAGCAGGTGAAGAAGAGGGAGGGCATTCCAGGCAAAAGGATCGGCCTGGTCAAAGACACTGAGGCAGGAAAGTATTGTGTATATTTGGGTATCAGAAAGGCATTCATTTTGGCCTGAGTACAAAGCAAATGGAAGGGGATCCCACCTTCTACAGGAAGCTTTTCTCAAACCCTCTTAATTCTAGAATTCAGGGGTAGGGAACCGGCGGCCTTCAGGCCGCATGTGACCTTCTAGGTCTGTGGGTATGGCCTTTTGACTGAATCCAAGTTTTACAGAAAAAAATCCTTTTTATGAAGGGGATTTGTTCTGTGAGGTTTGGATTCAGTCAAAGGGCCACACTTGAGGACCTAGAGGGCCACACGTGGCCTCAAGGCCGCAGGTTCCCCACCCCTGCTTTGGTTAATTATTTCCTATTTATCCTGTATATAGCTTGTTTTGTGTAAATTTATATATACATTGTCTCCTTGAGAGCAGGGTCTATCTTTGCCTTTATATCTCAGAGCTTAGCACTGGTACATGGTAGATGTTTAACAAATGCTTATTTTGACTGACTGGATAAACCAATGCAGAGAGCCTTGAATGCTATGAAAACGAGTTTACACTTTATTTGGCAGGTGGTGTCTAGCCTAATGCAGTACCTTGAATTTGATAGAAGTTTAATAGACATTTGTTGAATTGAGTGGCATATATCAGAATGAACACAGGAGAAGAAAGGCCAAGTCCCAGGTACCCTTGTTGCCAGGCCAAGTCCCAGATACCCCTGCTTCCAGGTCCAGTCCCAGGTACTCTTCCTTCCAGGCCCAGCTGCTAAGAGAAGTTGAGTTTCTGAGTCTTAGCAGGGCTGAGTCATAGATCAGGAGTGGGTAATGTCATAGGAAGGTACCTCTCCCCAAAATTATGATTTCTGTTGAATGAGGGTTTGGGGGTGGCTTGGGGGTACCTATTTCCACCAATTCCGGAGAGAGATCAAAACCAGTGCCTTTTATCTTTCCTCCCCCTCTGTCCTCTATTTCTATTCCCTTTCTCATCTTGAGCTTTCAACAACTAACATGAAAGGCTCCAGACCATAGAAATGGGTTTTTGCTTTCAGCTCATAATGTACTTTTGTATCTTCCTCCGAGGCTAAATACAAAGGTGAAATTTTTAAAGAATCCTGAAAATCCAACTTTGCTTGCTCCCAGCATGCCAATCCTTCCCAGATGTTCCTTTTCTTCCTTTCCTGATATACTTTCAGTTTCCTGAGTTGACCTCCTCATTTCCTCCTATTCCGTGTGACCTGGCTTCTCACTTTCTGCCCCAGGTGCCCTGGCTTGAGGAAATACCAGGCCAAAATGGTGGAGGAGAAATGTCAGCCGGACCACAAGAAACAAGAAGTGCCCCTCGAGCCAGAAGCAAGCAACCCTTGTGGGGAGAACTTCTTTGATATTGATGCCATCTTATCAATGGACTCTGAGTATTCATCTGTTGCCCCCATGGTACCCTGGAGTAGCCCAGAGCCTGGCTTGGTGAATCCAGCATTTGAGGAGACAGATGAAGATTCCATCCTGAGTCTTTCCACATCTGGTATAGACTTTGGGAAGGGGGCTATGGGAAAAAAGCCTAGGGGTCTTAGTAAACCACAAGTTCAATATGAACCAAAAATATGACCCAGCATCCCCAAAACAAACATGAACTACTGCTGCATTGAGAGGCCTAGCTTCCAGGACTAGGGAAAAGATAGTCTGTGATAGTCAGTGTGTTGGATTATACAGGCCTCAGCCCATGCTGTTCCAGGCCTCAGTTTATCCTTGCAAGCAAGGAACATCTTAGGGAGGGAACAGCCCTATCTGGCCAAAAGAGGCCCAAACCCAACCTCAGTCTTCTCAGACATGGAGAACCTAGGGAAGTCATCAGCATGAAACTTGGGACCTAGATACCTAGCCTGAGAAAGCAGACTAGACTCTGCCAGGCCTTCTGCATGGATGCCTTCTTCTGCCCAACACCCAGAATCCTACTCTTTGTAATCTAGTGGATTGACATCATGTTCCTTGGTCTTTACTAGCCTAAGAATGGCCCATGAGACCACAGGGTACAAGAAAGATATTCTGGCCAGAATATTCAGACCACTTCCCAAGAGCAGGGTAGAAAGGAGGGAACAGGTATTTATTAAGCACCTACTACATGTCAAGCACTGTGCTAAGGGCTTTACCAATATTATCCCATTTGATCCTTACAATAAAGCCTGGGAGGTAGGCGCTATTATGATTCTATTTTACTATTGAGGAAACTGAGACAGAGAGAAGTTAAATGATCTGCCCAGGGTCAATAGCTAGTAAATGTTCAAGGCAGGATATGAACTCAGGTCATCCTGACTCCAGGCCCAGTGTACCATTTAGCTATCTCTAGGGAGTACGCTTTGTATCACCCAGTAACTCTATGTCAAACCAACTGACATCCTCCTAATCCATCAATCAACGTTCCCTGAGTACCTGTGTTAAGCAACCAGGACTGGGTTGGAGGGAGGAAGAGAGAGAGGTGGAAAGGCCCATTAGGACACCACTTCAGTAGTTCAGGAAAATAGTGATGGAGGCCTGGGTGGGAGGGCCTCAGAAGCAGGCACTTTCCCCTCCATCGGGTCCCTTTAGTCACTTTTCTCTTGCCCCCCCACTCCCCATCAGACCTGACTCGCAGCAACAGTCTTGTGGCTGAAACTGTTGTCGTGGAAATTTCCCGGGATAACTCTGAGAAGGAGCTGGGGATGAGGATCGTCGGGGGCAAGGACACCCCACTGGGCAACATTGTCGTGCAGGAGGTCCACCAGGACACCCCCTTGGGCATGGATGGCAAAGTGGCCCCTGGAGATCATGTGCTCGAGGTGGGTGAGCATCCTCCTTCTTGGCCCATGGGATGCTGGGATGCTAGCCTGGTTCATGCTTCCCTCCCCAATCAGCGATAACAACAGCAGTAACAATGATCTCATTTGGAGAGTAGGTGGAGGTGTATCATACACACACTCCTCCCAGGCCTGGGAGCTCAGGAGTAGGATGGTTTTTATCTCTGTTTCACATATAAGCAAAATGAAGCATGGCTAGAAGAAGTCACTTGCCCAAAGTAACCCAGCTGACTTGAATCCAAGCCTCTTCACTCTAGCTCCCTTTGTACCTACTATGTATAGTGTTAGGTGCAGATGAAACAGTACATGATCACTACCCTCACAGGGCTTACATTCTAATAGGGACATGTGGAAGGCACAAAGTGCAAGGAGAGATTTAAGGACGTCCAGATTATTTCACAGTTTTCCTGGGGTGGGGGAAGGATTAGGAAAGGACTCATGGAAGAAGCAATGCTTGAACTAAACCCTGAAGAAAGAAAAGGAGTTCAGCAGTGGAAGAGGGGGGATGTACGAATCCACTCCTGGCAAAGGCATGAAGGTGGGAGAGTACAGGCTGAGAATTCCTGTGGTAGTGTGAGATGAGCCTAGAAAGGTAGATTGAAGCCAGATTATTGTTGGCCTTGGGTGCCAGGCTGAGGAGCTGATATTTTTTTTTTCTATAGGCAGTAGGGGGCCACTGAAGGTTTTGAGCAGAAGTCAGACCTGCCTGTGCCTTAGAAAAATTGTGTGGGTGTCTATGCAGAGGATGGATTGGGGAGGGGAGAGACTGAAGGAAAGAAGTCCCATTAGAAGTCTATTACAAATATGGGAATTTGTTTTACTTGACTATGCATATATATTACAAGGCTTTGTGTTTTTTTTCTTTTTTTTTCCCCTCCCATTAGGGGGAAGTGAAAGGAAGAGAAAATAAATGCTTGTTAAAAGAAATAAACAAACAAAGAAAGAAGTGAATAGATAGATGAACGAATTAATAAAATAAATAAATAGATGAATGAATAAATGAATAAACAAATAAATTAATAAATAACAGTTTGAAAAATAATTAAAAAATCATAAAAGCTATTGCCAAAATCTGAGGAAGGGCTGATAAAGAAGGTGAATGAACAAAGAGTGTTGAAGAGGAGGGGGCAAATAGGAGAAATGCAGTGGAGAAAGAATGGGCAGGATTTGGCAACGTGTAGGATGCATCGCTAAAGCTTGATTCACCTTCTCCTTGTTCTTCTCGGTCTACTGGGCTTGCTTTTGCTCCACCCAGGAAGCAGTAGGCTTTGATGATAGTATTAGAGAGATGAAAGTTGCCCAGAAGGTCAGAGAGTCTGATGAGGGCCCCTGGCAAATTGTCCTTTCTCCTAGGTCAATGGGATCAACATCAGCGATGTTACCCACTCTCAAGCAATCTCCCTGCTCCGCCAGGCGGGGCCTGTGCTTCAGCTGGTGATCTTACAAGAGAAAGGCTTCCTGAACAAGCCACTCCAAGATGACAGCCCGATTCCCAGCAGGGCTGGGGAGATCGTGCATGTCACCCTGATGAAGAAGGATCGGCTGCAGCCCCTGGGTATTAAACTGATTCGCAAGGCTGGCAAGGCTGGGATCTTCATCCTAGACCTGCTGGATGGTGGCCTGGCAGCCAAGAATGGAAAGCTGAGCCAAAATGACAAAGTGCTCTCCATCAATGGGCAGGACCTGAGACAGGGGACACCGGAGACAGCAGCCCAGATCATTCAGGTTAGTGGTGGCCCTGGCCATTCCCAGGAGGGTCAGGGAAGCCCAGGATGGTGGCCAGGGTAGCAGAACTCAGAAATTTTTAGATTTGAATCCTACCTACAATACTTACTAGCTGTGTGACTTTGGTCCAGTCAGTTAACCCCTCAATATCTCTATCTGTAAAATGGGTGGGGAATAATACTTGTAGTAGTATAAGTCATTGCATGTGAAACTCTTTTCACTTCATAAAGGATCCTATAAAATGTCAACTGTTATTATTTAAAGCCGGGAAAGAGCCTTAGAGATTCCTGGCTCAGCCCCTTCATTTTATAGATGAAGAAGCTAAGGCCAGGAGAAGGGAAGTCACCTATCCAAGATCACACAGACTTAGGAGGCAAATATGGGTCCTCTGACCCCAAATGCTCTTTCCACTACTTCATGCTGCCTTGTGGGCAAGGGCAGACTCCATTGTGATGCCAGATGCCACCAAGCATCACACTTTGCAAGGGGTGGGCATTTGCAAAATCTCATGGAGCATTGCTATGTACTTGGGAAGATGCAAAGTTTAGATAAGATGTGGCCCCTGTCTCTCATGGAATTTATGGTCTAATTAGTAGTAGTAGTAGTAGTAGTAGTAGAAGTAGAAGTAGTAGCTTCCTTCATCATAATTAAGTATAATCTATACATTAAAACACACATTAAACATGCATTAAAAAGACACAGAACAAAATGCATTGAGTGGGTCTGAGGAGTACAATGTCATTTCCAACTAGAGCTAGCAAAGAAGGCTCCCTGGAGGAGGTGGCATTGACTCCATAGACTTTTAAGGATGAGTGGGAACTCAGCGACCAAAAATAGGACAGAAAGTCATTCCAGGCTTAGGAAAAAGTCTGTCCAAAGGCACTGAGGTGGGAGAGCACCCCGAGTGATTGAGAGGCAGAGAATTGTCCAGGCTGGCTGGATTATTGAGTGGATGAAGAGGTTACAAGGCTAAAAAAGTTAGGGGTGGTGTCTTATTGTGGAGGGTCTGAAATAACAGGAAGAGCATTTGAAACTTTACTGGGTAGGCAAGAGAGGGCCAGTTTTTGAGCTGTGGAATAACACAAACATTATTCTGGAAAGGGTATAAGAGTGGTTGGGGGAGAGTGGAAGATTGAAGCAGCAAGACTTGTTAGGGCCTTTTCCAACAGTCCAAGGGGGTGGATATAAAGACTTTCTCTAGAATAGCAGCAGTATGAAGAGATGGGAGATTCTCCAAAGTGGTATCCACAGTACTTGTTAGCTGAATGGGAGAGAAAAAGGAAGAGTCCAAGATAACCCTCAGGATATCAATATGGGACCCAAAGTGAATGGTGAAGTCAGAAAGAGGGGCAGATTTAGGGAGAAAGAAAAAAAAGCTTGGTTGGGGACATGCCAGGTAAAGATGTCCTGTTAGCCATTGGAGATGAGCTCAGGGGAGAGATCAAGGCTGTCTACAGCTAGATTCCTGATGTGTTTGAGTTATGAATCCTCTTGAAGTGGTTGCATTATTCAAATCCTATTGGGCTGGAACCAATGACCATATGACCATATTTTATACAATTATACCTTCGAATAGTGCAAATGTGAAAACATTTGAAGTGGTTGTATTATTCAAATTCCATTGGGTTAGAACCAATGACCATATTTTACATAAATATACCTTCAAATAGTGCGAATTTGAATACATTTGAAGTGGTGGTATTATTCAAATTCCATTGGGTTAGAACCAATGACCATATTTTATATAAGTGTACCTTCAAATAGTGCAAATTTGAATACATTTGAAGTGGTTGTATTATTCAAATCCCATTGGGTTGGAACTAATGACCGTGTTTTACAATAATTATACCTTTGAATGGTGCAAATTTGAATACATTTGAAGTGGTCTCATTATTCACTCTCCAAATAGACCCTAGCTGTATGCAGCTTCAGGCAGCATCAATGTAGACTTGATAGTTGAAGTTTAGGCGTGGGAGTGATTGTGAATGGGGAGAGTGTCAGGAGAGCACTCAAAGGAGATGGAGAGTGAGTGTAGCATCTCTGAGGCTGATGAAGGGAAGAGAATTTGGTAAGAGGACCTGGGCAGCAGCATCTTGAGTTTCACATACCCCAAAGAGGATGAGGACTTCCAGAAAGCCATTGGCTTGGGGGAATTGAAAGGTCATCAGTGACCTTGCAGAGCACAGTGGGGGAGTGAGGGGGAGGAGATCAAGACTGATTGCAAGATGATGGAGAGAGTGGGGACTAAAGAAGTAAAGATAATGAATGGAGACAACTTGTCCAAGTTCAGCAATGAAAGAATGAGGGAGAGATAGGGCAGTGACTCATGGGGCTAGAAAAATCCAGAGAATCCTAGGAGAGGAGTGGGGATGGAGAGACCGGAACATGTTTGTGGCCAGAGAGGGAGGAGCACAGACCAAGGGAGACACTGACACTATATGACAGAGGGATGAATGGGTTAGAGAGGGGTTAGCCCTTAATGAAGAATAGGGAGATCTCCCATTCTGTGAGCACTTGAGTCTCTAGTGCTCTATGATGTCAAGAAGGAGCTTGGGTGGGGTAAGCAATAAAGTCACCAGCCATGGGGAAGCCAAGGGTGTTGAGGTTGTCAGAGGGAATGTCAAGAAGAATACCAAAGTCCCCAAGGAGGACAGCAGGAGATGGAATGGGTAGCACTCAAGTCATTGACAAAGCTGGGTTGGGAAGACTTGGGTGAACTATTGCAGAGCCAAGTTAGCAGAACTAAGGAAAAATACACAGTGCTGACAGCCAAGTAAATGGAGGGAACAAAAACAAAACTGAATGTAGTGTTGGCCCCAGAGAAGGACTGAGAAAATGCAAAACTACCTCTTTGTAGAGGTGGGGGACTATGAGTGTGGAATATTGCATATCCTATAAAGTCACAATTAATATGTTGGTTGATTGTGATGAGCTGCCTTTTACCTCCCTCTCTTCCTTTTTAGAGGTCCTTGTCAAAAATAAATAAATAAAAGTCCTTCCTATAAGATATTTAGTACCAGGAAATTTGACCTACTGGATAGAGAGCTGTCCTCTGAGCCCAGGAGGACTTGAGTTCAAATCTCACCATTGGCACATACTGGTTATATGACCCTGACTGAGCAAATTGTTTCACCTCGCAATGTCCCAGGAAGCTCTTAGACTGGAAGAGCCAATCTGCATCGGTAGAGGGAGATCCTCCCCCAGTAGTTTCCTATGGCCCAGGCCCTCTCCCTAGCTCCTACAAAGAATGACTTGCTGAATATTGGAAGGAGAGAGCTATACTTGAAATGAGGGTGATTGTGAAAACAGAAGATATCCATTTTTTTTTTTTAAGAAAAAGCTAGGAGAATGACCTGGAGACCAGCCGATGCTAGGAACAAGGAAGTAAAGACAGATATCATAGCTGTCAAGAGGGGTAAGGTTACTGGTAGAAAAATAGATAAGAAGCACCACTAAGGAGCCAAGAGTGGCCCCATGTGTTGGGGGAGAGGGCAGGGGGAACGAAATAAGGAGCAGCTGCAAGGGAAGTGGAAGGAAGGGAGGCTGAGGTTGGAGGGGGTTATTACCAATCTGAGTGTTTCCATGGGCCCAGTGGAATGGCCTACGGGACTGATAGACTAGGTTGGAATGATCCTGAGAAGGAAGAAGGTCAATTCATATAAGTAGGTGATCAGTCTGGGCTTCATGCTTCCAGCTGTGGATGAGAGCCTGGATGTCTGACATTGAGAAGCCAGCACAGTGGTGGCTGGATGGACATGGAGGGGCTGTCTCTGTAACCTGGGACTGGAACTGAGAAAAAAAGAGGCCCCACAAAGGGAAAGAAGGGGAAGGGAGCACAGATGATGGAGAAGAGACAAAGTTGGCCCCTTCTTCTCTAGTTTCTGTTGTCTTTCCTTTACCTCTGTACCAAAAGGGACAGAACAAAAATGGCCAATGGAGAGTTGATCCCTAAGATAAGTGGGGAGAGAACAAGAAAACACTGAGTTGCCCTGGATGAGTTCAGGTGCTTTGGGCAGGATGATCTCCATCCCTGGTTACTGAAAGACCCAATGGATGTGATGGCCAAGTCTTCATCACTGAGCTAGCGTAGATTATAAACAAAAATCCCTTATATGATATACCTAACAGATGGTCATCTAGCTTCTTCTTGAGGACCCCAAATGAGGGGGAACCCACTCCCCTATAAGGCAGCTGAGTTCACTTTGGGATAGATTGATCAATGCTTTTTTTTTGAAAAGCTCATTTCCAAATGTCACCATCCACCACATGTACTTCAAATCTCCCTCACACCGAAGAAGCACAGCTAAGCATTGGCCTGTAGGACAGTGTGTGCCTCATTCTGCACCTACCATCCACCATCTCTCCACTAAGAGGAGGGAAGTCTGCTCTAACTACTAGTCATCCAAAGTCACAATTGTTCTCTTGGCATTATTGCAACCAGCGTGTTAACTTGCTCATTTTGTAGGTCGTTCTGGTTTTTTGATCACATCAAAACCTGCCTCAGTTCAGAGAATCTTCCTGTTTCCCTGAATTCTTCACATTCATCATCTCTCACATACACTAATATTCCCTTATGGTCCCCTGCCACCAATGGTGCAAACATTCCGCAATTGATGGGCACTCACTTTGTTTCCAGCCCTTTGCTACCATTAAAAAAGTCTCTATAAATCCTTTTGGATGGATAAAAGCTTTCTATTTGTCTCTGAGCTCTATGGGAGTCTACCACTGGTCAAAAAGTATATACTAAAGTTCATTGATTTTTCTAGCACCATTTACAAGTGCTACAAGTTGGACCAATTCAGAAATTTGGTTTCCCCCCCTATTCCCCCCCCCCCCCGTCAAACTTCAATTTCCCTCTTTTCAGCTTCTATCTGCTGTTCCTCGTTCTCTCGTCTGAGGCCAAAGATGAATGAGTTTAATGCCTCTTCCATATGACAGGCCTTCAGCTACTTAAATCAGCCATCATGTGTCCACTAAATCTCCTCTTCCCTCTAAACATC